CCTGGAACAGGTAGGAAGACGCCCCAGAAGATTTTAAGACAGCCCATACTACCAAAGGAACCATGATGTTGACTAAATCATTCATGATCTTCAAGACTCAAACTGTAAGCCCCTATAGTCTAATGGACACAGAGGAGGCTGACAAAGCAGACACTGTGGCATGGTAGGTTAAGCTGCTGCTTGGGACATTGCATCTGGTATCAGAGTGCTTCTTAGACTTCCTGCTAATCTGCACTTCTGATCCAGCTCCCTGCTAATGCTCTTGGGGAAGTAGTGGAAGATGGCCCAAGTACTTAGGTTCCTGAGTCCCACGTGGTAGACCAGGATATCCATGATATAGAAACCAAGCTGGGGGCCAGCGCTGTGGCTTAGCAGGTGACGCCACCGACTGCAGTGAGAACATCCCATGTGGGCACCGGTTCAAGTACCAGCTACTCCACTTCCAATCCAGCTCTCTGCTATGGCCTGGGAAAGCAGTGGAAGATGGCCCAAGCCGTGGGAGACCCAGAGGAAGCTCCTGGCTCCTGGCTTCAGATTGGTGCAGCTCTGGCTATTGCAGCCAATTGGGAAGTGAACCAGCAGATGGAAGACCTCTATCTCTTTCTCTCCACCTCTGCCTCTCTGTAACTCTGCCTTTCAAATAACCAAATAAATCTTTAAAAGAAAAAAAGAAAAAGAAAAGAAAGAAAGAAAGAAAGAAAGAAAGAAAGAAAGAAAGAAAGAAAGAAAGAAAGAAAGAAAGAAAGAAAGAAGCTCCAGAAGGGGAAAGGAACAAATCTCACCTAATTGCATTATATTCAATATTAACTGATTTACATTTTATTTGAAAGACAGGGACGCAGGGTGAGAGGCACAGAGATCTTCCATTTGCCGGGTTCACTCCCCAGTGCCCAAAACAGTGAGGGCTGGGCCAGGCCAAAGTCAGGAAACCAGAACTTATTCTGGACCTTCCACAGGGGAGGAACAGGGACCCAAGTACTTGCATCATCACCCGCTGCCCCCACAGTCTACATTAACAAGACTCTGGATCAGAGGCAGAGCCAGATTCAAATCAGGCACTGAGATCCGGGATGGGACGTAGCATCCTAGACGGTGAATTAACAGGTCCACCAAATACCTCCTCCTCAACTGCATTGTTTTGCTGATGCCAGAGTCGGAGTTTAAGGCAAGCAGATGACCTTCCCATGGTGTTACAGCCGTGGTAACTAGGATCCAAATCTCTTCATTCCCTGTTCAGAAGGAAGAGTCTGCCCCTTGGGTTATAAACAGCAGACGCCCCCTGGGTTAGAAACAGCAAACCCTCCCAAGGACCATGTACAGGTCAGAGAGAAGCACAAGATTCACATGGATTCCAAGCATGATGAGGACAAATACCCAGTCTAGCACATCTGTTTCCCTGCCCAGCACAGGTGCTTGGTGGGTGATAGTGGGTGAGTTACAGTGAGGGACAGAGGTAGCTAAAGTAACCAAGAAGAGCTGAGAAGATCCGAGAGGAACTGGTGGCCTATGCCGAGAGATCTGAGTTTTCTAAGCATGGCAAGTGAGGTACACAAGACCCAAAGGGTCGTCTGCATCACAGCACTGCCCTTCTCCAGCCACTGCTGGGGTGGAAGCAGATTGTGTGCAGCCGGGCATGTGAACACGAGGGTGCATGTGTAATGGTGTGGAAGGGAGAATCAGACAAGACGCAGGGAAGTCCCATCATTTGCAGGCATCACCCCATTAGTAGGCATGAGGGGAAAGGGTAGCAAAGCCAGCCCAGTAATGGAAGAACAAAGAAGCCAACGACGGGAGCTGGCGTTGGGTACAGAGGGAGAGCTGCAGCTCACCACGCAAGCATCTTATATCCTTTTCTTTAAAAAAAAAAAGATTTATTTATTTACTTGAAAGTCAGAGTTACACAGAGAGAGGAGAAGCAGAGAGAGAGAGAGAGAGAGAGAGAGGTCTTCCTTCTGCTAGTTCACTCCCCAGATGGCTGCAATAGCCAGAGTTGCGCCAATCCAAAGCCAGGAGCCAGGAGCTTCTTCCAGGTCTCCCACGCAGGTTCAGGGACCCAAGTGCTTGGGCCATCTTCTACTGCTTTCCCAGGCAACAGCAGAGAGTTGGATTGGAAGTGGAGCAGCTAGGACTCAAATCAGCGTCCATATAGGATACTGGCACTGCAGGTGGCAGCTTTACCCACTACGCCACAGCGCTGGCCCCACAAGCATCTTGTATCTAGCATCGGTTTGTGTCCCTGTGACTCCTCGGGTAGAGAAACAGCAGCACAGAGTCCTAAAAACACAGCTGGACTTGCTGGGAGAGGGGACGGCGGTGGTCCCTGGGAGTGTGCCTGCTCCGCTTACCATCCAGCTCCCTGCCTGGGGAAGCAGCACATGTGACCCAAGTGCTTGGGCCCCTGCCACTCACGTGGGAGACCTGGATGGAGTTCCAGGCTTCCTGACTTGGGCCTGGCCCCGCCTCAGCTGTTGCGGCCAATTGGGGAGTGAAAAGGCAGATCAAAGATTTCCCTCTGTCTCTCCCCACACACCCACCCCATCACTCCGACTTTGAAATAAAGAAAATAAATCTTTTAAAAGCAGCCATAACAAAAGACAAAGAAAACATCTTCCTACCTCATCCACCACTGGAACGAAGTATAAGTGTTTCTTATTATAATCCTAAAGAGATGCACCTTGAAGCTTTGACATGGTGAAAGAAATTGCAGGTTCAAAGTATATATCTATTGCATAGGTCGTTAGATGTCCCCAGGGTAGAAAAATCTTTTAGTTCTGAAATCAGAGTAAAGCGCTCTCTGGTTCATGGTGGTTAAACACAGCAAGTGATTTGGGATGGAGAAGCCTAAGGCATCAGAACAAAAGTAAAATGACTTTCGGTTTCCTCCAGGGTCAGGATTTGGGAAGGGCTGTAGCTGTGAGAGAGAAGAAATTAGAGAAGGCGCTCTGTTGAGTAGCACGGGTCCCCACATGCGTGGAAGACAAGGTCTCAAAGACGTCAGGAACAAGGCACCGTGTGAGCTGCAGGGCGTAGGAACACTGATCGCCGACGTCCACTTGGAGACGGCTTTCTATTCTGCCCTTGAAATCTCCTTCTCCGTGTGGAGTGTGAAAGGGGGAGGAGAGGACAGGAGGACCCCAGCACAAAGAGGAGACTCCCACGGGATCACGCACTCCCCTTTGGCCTTTGCTGCAAATCAGGAGCCAGGTGGTGGGGTGGGGGAAGCTGCTGGGCTGTTTCCGTCCAGGGCATTCATGTCACCCCTGTAGGCACACTGGGGGCAGGGAGAGGGGGCACCGCTGTCCCCTCGCACAGGGAGTCTCGCTGTGTGCTGCTGGGGCTCTGTGCTGCTGTTTCTGTGCCTGAGGAACCCACGGTGTGAGGTTAACGTGCTGGTTCTCCTGCATCACTGATGTAATGAAATAGCTCGGGCTAAATAATGTAAAACTCCTGGTCTACCGATGGTAACTTCTCTCTTTTTTTAACTACAGCGTCTGATTCACTCAAAGGAACAAATTACATTTTATGGCCTTTGATAAAATATTCAGTCCCTCCTCCTCCTGCTCAGTCGGCAGATCAGGAAGCCTGCAAATGGCCTGGTGTAAACAGGATCTCATTTCCTCCCAGGCACAATTGACAGAGGCCAGGCGGGCTCCTGGCTGCAGTGGGGGTCACGACGCTGGGACCGGCAGAGAGCAAAGCACCCTGGGGTCTGCTCCATGTAGTCCTCAGCCTCCAGGATGGTGGGAAGCTGGGGGCTGGGAGCAGAGGGTGAGCAGGAATCAAGCAGCAGGTCCGTTTCATCCATCTCTCTTTACAGGGAGAGCCCTGCCACCACCCTGTCACAGGACTTCCTTCAATCTGCAGCCTCTGCGCCTACGTTTGAGTGCTGTTTGCAGCCTAGCCTAGGTCCAGGGCTGCAGGGAGGCAGCCAGAGCACAGAGAAGGAGAGGACCTGCCTGTGGAGGCTGGGCCAGGAGGCCGGCCTGCAGGGGAGGCTGTTAGGAGAGAGGGGACTTCTCACGTGCCTGCCCCTTCCTTTCCACCTTCATTGGCCATCCCAGTGCCGAAGGCCTGCGCAGATGCGGCGAGGTGAATAATGACCTTCCTCTGGGGGAGTTTCAGTATGCAGTGGTTCACATCTGGAGCCTGGACCACTCGCGTGGGTATGGGAGGAGCCAGACCTCAGCCCAGCTGGGCCTCTGTTGGACTCTGGGCCATCTCTCTACTTGGGCCTCAGTTTCTTCTCCCACAGAACAAGGGGCTTGCATGAGAGCACAGAGGTCAGACAGAAGCTACAACCCTGGCTCCCCGATGCCCCATCAGAATCTGGATGTGAGCTCCTAGTTCCAGGCTCCCCCCACTTCAGAGGATCTTTGCCCCCGCCCCCCGATTAACAGAAAGAATCACATATCCCCAGAGAGCAACAGCAGCAGCCACTGCCTTAGGAGAGCAGCAGCCCCAGTTCCTGTCTGCTTCTACCACCACACCAGACATCACAGCCCGGGTCCATTCCTGCTGGGTGAGGAGTTTGCTGAATGCACTGCTCCCAGCAGAGCCATAGCTTGATTCTCCGAGGGGACTGGGAGGGGGGCCTGTGCTTCCGGCTGCACCTGCCACAACACAGAGGCACAGAGAGCGGACACAAACAACTCATCATCACCCCATGTTCCCCCCGCCGCCCCCAGCTAACGCATTCCTGCACCATTCTATATCGGGAAGTGTCATTTCTGCGGATCCCATGAAGGATGGCAAGGCTGGAGAATCCTGTGCTCACAGCCAAAATGGGGGAGGGGGTGGAAATCACATAAGAGGATGATTGATCGGTCATCTGAAACTCTCAAAGGGTTCTGCATCTCCCAGGCATACCCAGAGCCTGTTCATCCGAACAGCTTGAGTCCACCCATGCAGGCATTTGATCTTACCCTGGTAGAGGTAAGAATCTGGGAGCCCAGGGCCCCTCACCCTGCATCAACTGCAAAACACAGAGAATTCCCCCCACTTCCCACTTCAGGGGTGACTGTGGAGAAGGCCCCTTCAGGGGGCTGTCTCCCCCCAACCCTGGCCCTTCTTGCTTTCATCGCTGCCTATCTTTTGCCCACGCACACCCTGGAGACTTGAGAGCAATTCTTTCTTTTATCCCACAAACACAGTTGAGAATCCTCTGTGTACTGGTTACTGTGTGCAGTGCTGGGTGTGTACAGTGCAAAACAAGATAGTCCCGGTCCCCGGCCTGCAAGAAGAGTCTGTCTTATGTAGTCTAGATGGTAGCTTCTATATAGTCTATATGATGATCTATATATAGTGTATAGCCTGTATAATAGTGTGTATAACATATGTGTATAAACATGTCCACATAGACATACACCTACACAGACACACATGCATGCTACATCCCCACCTGAGATATGAGGGCACTTACAGAATTAAAAGGTAAATTTATGTTGGTACAAGAAAATTTTTTAAATCTTTATGCTTTTTAAAAAAAAAAAAAAAGACGTATAGTTATTTGAAAGGCAGAGTTAGAAAGAGAGAGAGAGAAAGAGAGAGAGAGAGAGAGGCCTTCATCCTCTGGTTCATTCCCTAAATGGCCAGGACTGGCCAAGCCGAAGCCAGGAGCCTGAAACTCCATCCTGGTCTCCCATGTGGGTGGCAGGAGCTCAAGCACTTGCGCTGTCTTCCGTTGCTCTCCCAGGTGCATTAGCAGGGAGCTGGATCAGAAGTGGAGCAACCAGGACTAGAACTGGCACTCACACAGGATGCCCAAGTCGCAGGCAGTGGCTTAACCTACTGCGCCACAATGCTGGCCCCACAAGAAATTTTGAAATCCATGTAGTTTTTTTTTTAAGACAGATAGAGTTAGATAATGAGAGAGAGAGAGAGAGACAGAGAGAAAGGTCTTCCTTCCGTTGGTTCACCCCCCAAATGGCCGCTACGACCGGTGCTGGGCCGATCCGAAGCCAGGAGCCGGGTAATTCCTCCCAGTCTCCCATGCAGGTGCAGGGCCCAAGCACTTGGGCCATCCTCCACTGCCCTCCTGGGCCACAGCAGAGAGCTGGACTGGAAGAGGAGCAACAGGGACAGAATCCGGCACCCATATGGGATGCCAGCGCCACAGGCAGAGGATCAACCAAGTGAGCCATGGCGCTGGCCCCCATGTAGTTTTTTCACAACACACATTTTCCATGAACTCTTTGAAACCCCGGGGACATGTATAGTGGGAAGACCCCAGCCAGCCCCAGGCTGCTTCAGTGCTCAGTCCTTCAAGTCCTCCCCACGGGGACCGCAGACCTCAGGAAGCAGCCAGCTTCCCTGCCCCGACTCATCTGACCATGAGACTCAATGACACTGGGTGTTGTATGCCTTCTTAGGTAACAATCGACACCTGGAAACTTGGGAGAACTTGATGGCTTCCAGAGAATCGCCCAGCGAAGAAGTCATGGGTTCAAATCCAGGTGGGGAGCTACAATGGTGCCTGTGGGGTAGTGAGCAAGATGTCAGATGGCAGGTTTCAACCTACCCACCTGCTTTCCCGAGTGCACACCTCACCCTCTGCAGCTTCTTTCTGTGCACGAAATGCCCATGCATGCATGAGTACATCCAAGTACACACACACACACACACACGCACACACACACACACACTGGGGCTTTGGGTGACACTGTCACCACCAGAAGGGAGTCCATAAGAAAGAGGATGTGCACTGAGCCCCTCATTTCAGGACAAACCCTCAGCTGAGCGGCCGAGCAAGGGAAGAGCCAGTGGCCTCTGCAATGCCAGCTCTGCAGCGGAGAGCGACCAGACATAAGGTTCCAATTTGAATTCCATTTCCATGAAAGAAACGTCCAGCCTAATCCTCTGGTCCTTCCAAGGCCAGGAAGGGGCCCCGCTCCAGGGAAGTGGCTCACAGCCCCACAGACAGGTTCTAGCTCCCTTGTCAACAGTCGGGGGGTGGGGGTGGGGTAGGGGGGGCAGGCAAGTGGAGGTCTGAGCCAGTGCTGGCCAGGAAAGCTGCATTCCTGATTTGGTCAGCTCAGGAGCAGGCAGAGAAAAAAGCAAAGCCACATTTCGGGGACAAGAACGGGAAGTTGCAATTGTTGACCCCTTGCCTGTAGCCAGACTCCATTCCCCACAGCTGCCTTGGGCGGTGGCAAACCATGTGAGTGTCCTTAAAGCCCCTGACAGACAGACAGGGACTGAGGGAGTGAGGGAGGGGGCTTGTGCCCCCCCAGGGGGAGGGGAGGGTGGAGAGGGGTGGAGCGTGGTACACAGGCCAGAGGCCATGCTGTACTGCTCTGCTCCTCGATGTATCCCCACTGCCTAACTGGGGACTCTGGCGAACCAAAGACACCCAGTGTTTGTTGAATGAATGAGAAAACAACTTCCATGCAACCTGATGCTTCAGAAAGTGGCCTGATTGCTCCCTACCCAGAATCCCCCATGATTTTGTGAGGTCGAGGGGCCACACTGCCTGACCCGGTCCCTTACCCTCTGGTAGAGCTGACACCACCAGGGAATTATGGGAAAGAGCACAAACCACTGTGCTGGGTGCTACTTGCCTGCTGGATCACCTGTAGGTGGGTGTTCCTTAACCTCTCCAAGCCTCATTTTTAAATGAAGCTAAATTCTTTCATCTTCCCAAGTGAGCATGAAGATACCTGGAGTATTTTCCCTAAAGTAGATAATTGATGCTACTCATTCTTTTTTTCTTCGTCTTGGTTTATTTACCACAGCTCCAAGGACCAACCTTCATCATCAAAACCTCTAGCCCACGCCGGTTCTAGTGCCGGCTGCTCCACTTCCGATCCAGCTCTCTGCTGTGGCCTGGGAAAGCAGTAGAAGATGGCCCAAGTCCTTGTGCCCCTGCACCCACGTGGGAGACCTGGAAGAAGCTCCAGGCTCCTGGCTTCGGATCAGCACAGCTCTGGCTATTGCGGCCAACTGGGAAGTGAACCAGCAGATGGAAGACCTCTCTCTCTCTCTCTCTCTCTCTCTCTGCCTCTCCTTCTCTCTCTGTGTAGCTCTGACTTTCAAATAAATAAATAACCCCCCACACACACAAAAAAAAACTTCTAGCCCAGGGGTGGCCATGAAGCCCACCAGCTACCGTGTGCTGTCCCACCTCAGAGCACCTGCACCTGATACCCAGGTCCAGCTCCTGACCCAGCTCCCTGCTCATGCAGACCCTGGGAGGCAGTGCTGACGGTGCAGGTGGCTCTGCCCCTGCCACTCCCAGGGCAGCCCTGGACTGAATTCCCAGCTCCCAGCCGTGGCCCACTCCAGCTCTGCTGTTGCAGGCCTGTCGGGGGAGGGGGGGGAACCAACAGCCAAGAGCTCTGCCTGTCTGTCTGTCCTCTCTCTCTCTCTCTCTCTCTCTCTCTCTCTGTGTGTGTGTGTGTGTATCTGCTTCTCAGATACATTTTGGGGAAAAACCTCTAACCTTCACGCTCCACTCCTCCTCTTCCCTGGTGCCTCCCCTTCTCCACACTGGCGTAGCTGTGTGAGGCTGTGTCGGGGTGCACGTGGGGTGCTGATGAGAAATCGTTTCAAAAGGGCCTTATGGAGAGCTGACAGAGATTTGAAATCGGACAACCTGTTTAAAACCTGTGTCTCCCACTTTGAGCAAGTTATTTAACAAATCTGGGGTTCCGATTCCTCATCTATGCGAGGGGAGTTGTAACAGTCTCTCAGGGGCCTCGTGACACGGCTGACATGTTGAGAGCTGACAGGTTGTGCCCTGCACGTTACCATGGGTGCAAGTGACACTGTGACTGGGACGGTCCTCCATACCCTACGCCTGTACCCCGATGTAGGCTGCTGACTCCCAGATTGTCTGTTTTTTAAGTTCGCTAAGATACTCTGCGGGCTAAAGGTGGGTCTGGACTGCTGTGAGGACTCCACTCACCCCCATGCACAGTAGGAAGGTGCTCCAAAGACACAGCCCGGATCGGATCCCTTTCTCCCCACGTTAGCGCGGCTCTGGAAGCCTCTCCGTCAGTCTCCTGCTGGGCATGGGGGAGCCACAATGCTGGAGTTGACTCCTAACAGCTCCCAAGGGCTGACTGCTCAAGTTCACAGGAATTTTCAGAGCTGGTTGTCAGATTCTGGGTAGTCTGAAATCAGCCACGGAGGGAACATTTACACTTCAGAAATTAGCAAACGCGACACACCAGGATCTTTTACATTTTTCTCCAAAGAGCTGTTTTACTTGCGTAACACCCCCTCCAACCCGCCTGCAGTCTCTTCTCCACCCACAACCAGAGCGACTTTTTAAATTTACTTATTTGTTTACTTGAGATACAGAGAATAAAAGAGAGAGCTCACGTGTACCGGTTCACCCTCTAACTGCCTGCAATGGCCAGGGTCTGGCCAAGACTGAAGCCAGGAACCAGAAACCTGATCCAGGCCTCCCATGTGGGTGGCAGGGCCCAACTTTCTGAGGACAACTCTGTTGCCTCTCAAGTTCTGCGTTGCCAGGGAGTTGTAACTGGGTATCAAACTCAGACAGTCTAATGTGAGACGCGGGCCTCCTGACTGGCGTCTTAGCCACTCTCCCAAATGCCCACCTCCAGAATGAATTTTAAAACCTTAGATCTGGGGCATTTGGTGCAGCTGTCAAGACACCAGTTGAGATGCCCACGTCCCATTTCAGAGCGCCTGGTTTGAGCTTTGGCCCCTCTGCTTCCAATACAGCTTCCTGCTAATGCGACTTTGGGAGGCAGCGGATGACTCAGGCACTTGGGTCCCTGCCACCCATATGGGAGAGCAGGATTGAGTTCTGGGCTCCTGGCTTCAGCTTGGTACAAATCTGGCTGCTGTAGGCATTTGGGGAATGAACAGGTAGATGAAAGCTTGCTCGCTCGCTCTCTCTCTCGCTCTCTCTCTTTCTGCCTATCCAATAAAATGCAAATAAAAATAGAAATTTAAAAGCTGTAGTCATGTACGTCAATTTCCTGCTCCAAAGACTCCAATCCTTTTCCATCACATTAAGTCTAGAATCTGAACTCACAACCTTGGTCCATGTCATCCTACATCATCTGGAGAATGCCTCCTGCTAAGCCCTCATTGGCTAACATTCATCCCCAAGTGCCTCCCGCCAAGCCCTCATTGGCTAATATTCCTCCCCAAGTGCCTCCCGCTAAGCCCTCATTGGCTAACATTCCTCCCCTCCCCTATCCAGCTCCGGCCACACTGGCCTACTTGCAGTTCCTGGATGCAGAAAACTGTCTGCCTTCAGAACGTTTATACTTCTGCTGTCTTAAGCCTGCACTGTTCTTCGTCTCAATGCACCTACATCCTTAATCTTTCCTGTCTCCATGCACTGCGCCTTGTTGGAGAGGCTCTCTCTGACCACTCTATCCAAATTACATGCCCTACCTACCCTTTGCTGCTATTCTGTTCTTTTTCAAAGCACTTATCACCAACAGATGTTGGTGATATACTTGTTCACAGCTTTGTTGCGATGTAATTAGTACACCAAACAATTCACCCACTTAACACTATGCATCACAGAGATTTTTAATATATGTATAGAGTTTTGTAACCATCACTGCAATCATGTCTAGAACATTCCAATCACTTCCAAAAGAAACCCCCTTGACCATGACGCCTAAAGCTCCCCAAAGCCTTCTTCCATCCCTGCCACCTCCAACTAGTCAACACATTCTGTCTACACAGTTGGCCATCCTGGATGTTTCCCAAACAAAAGGACATCAAAATATCTGTAGAAAATAGAGTCAAAAGGCAAGTTTATTTTTGTGCAAAAAAAAAACCATGGAAATGTGTAGTTTTCATAGTACATATTTTCCATGAATTTTTAAAAGTCTCTTTGTAAGTGAAATCACACGATGTATGGTTTTCTTGTGACTGCTTTCTATCACTCAGCAGAAAAATTTCAAGGCTCATTTCTGTTGCAGCATAGATTAATACTTCTTTTCTTCTTGGAGCCAAATTACATCCCATGATGGTATATATCACGTTTTGTTTATCCATTCATCATTTGGAAAGTTGGTTTGTTTCTTCTTGGTGGCTCTCATGAATAGCGCTGCTAGAAGCATTCATGCAGTAGTTTTTGTGTGGGTATGTTTTCAGTTTTCTTGGGTAGATCCCTAGGAGTGTAACTATTGGATCATAAAGTTACCCTCTGTTTACCTTGGGACTTTTTTTAAAGATTTACTTATTCATTTATTTATTTGAAAAATAGAGTTACAGAGACAGAGACAGACAGACAGAGACTCCATCCACTGGTTCACTCCCCAAATGGCTGAAATGGCCAGAGTCTGAAGCCAGAAGCCTGGCACTCCATCCAGGTTTCCCATGTGGGTGCAGAGGCCCAAAGACTTGGGCCATCTTCTATGGCTTTCTTAGGCACATTATCACGGAGGTGGATCACAAATGGAGCAGCTTGGGTTCGAACAGGTGCCTATATGGGATGCTGGCATTTTAGGTGTCAGCTCAACCCATGGTGCCACATCACCTGCCCTCTGTTTAGTTTTTGGAGTTTCCAGATTTTCAGCCAAGTGGCTGCACCACTTTGCTTTCCCACCAGCTAGCTATTCATGAGGGTTCTAATCTCTCTGCATCCTCCTAAACAGTTGTTTTCTTTTTTTCTTAAGATTTATTTACTTCTTTATTTGAGTTACACAGAGAGAGAGGGAGAGGCAGAGAGAGAGAGAGAAAGAGAGAGGCCTTCCATCCACTGGTTCACTCCCCAGTTGGCCGCAATGGCCACAGCTGCGCCAATCCAAAGCCAGGAGCCAGGAGCTTCCGCCAGGTCTCCAATGTGGATGCAGTGGCCCAAGGACTTGGGCCATCTTCTACCACTTTCTCAGGCCACAGCAGAGAGCTGGACTGGAAGAGGAGCAGCCAGGACTTGAACAGGTGCCCATATGGGATGCGGGTGCTGCAGGTGAAGGCTTAACCTACTACACTACAGTGAAGGCCCCTCCATTTTAAAAATCATTGCCATCCTAGTGGCTATGAATGGGATCTCATTGTGGTTTTGATTTGCATTTTCCTGGTGGTTCATGATGAGTATCTTTTCATATGTTTATCGGCCATTGGTTTTAGAGATGTCTATTCAGACATTTCCGCCCATGTTTAACAAACAAGTTGTTTGTGTATTCTAGATACAAGTCTTTTAATCATACCTATGATTGGCAGTGTTTCCTCCAAATTTGTGTGCCGTCTTTTCTTAAATTAATATATTTTGGGTTTTTTAGAGCAATTTTAGATTAACTGAAAAATTGTGAGCTGTCTTTTCACGTTGCAGTGTTGTTACTGTCCCAAGGTTCCTTGACTCACCTGCGATACACATTGACAAGGGGCCCATATTTGACCCAGACAAAGTTTATTGGGGTTTGTGCTTGAGCACAGAGGAGACGGCATGGCGTGAAGAGGCTCCACCGATTGGCTCTCTGAAGGATGCTGAACAGGGGTTTCTATTGGGTTGGGAAGGCGCCGCCCTTTCCTCCTCTGGCTCGTCCTCCTTGGCACACAGTGCTTCAGTTTCCACCCCACCCACTGTTCGCTCTTGCTCCTTTGGCACACATCATACTCAGAATGGCAGTGTTGCTCTCTACCGCCTCCACAGGCAGATGGTATATCAGGCATACCAAACCCTTCTGGTGTGCACCTGCACCCAGAATATCCTGAAGGGCAGGGAACGAGGTCTTTTGCACTTACAGTTTAGGAGCTTTGGGCTCCTGAGTGGTTGGCAGTCAGGTGGAACAGCCTGGGATCGCAGCTGAGCAAATGGATACATGGCCAGGTCAGGAGGGCTGTGGTTTTATGAGTCAAATCCTGCTTCTCTCCTGCCTGGTCATCATTTGAGATGCAAGCGCTTTTAATGTAATGAGTCAAATTTATCTACACTTTTGCTTTTCGTGCCTGTACTGAAGTGGCATAGCTGAGAGCTCGTGCCAAGTCCAATGTCCCAAAGATTATGCCTATGACTTCTGAGAGTTTTGGAGCTTTTGCTGTTACATGTAGGTTTCTGGTTTGTTTGGAGCTCAAGTTTGTATATAAAGTGTGAGGTAAAGGTAATTGCAGCGTATGTACTTATTTTTCAAATGTGTCTATTTTTATGCTTAGGTGACAAGTTCTGGGAGAACAGGGATCTTGGTCTTGTTCTCTGGAGTCCCCATCCCTTGTAACACTGCTTGGCAGAGAGCAGGGACTCAATATTTGTTGAACAAGTGCATAATATCTCAATAAATGGTATTTATCATGTTATCATTCATGTGCACTTTTGAGCCCTGCCGCCCAGCCCTTGAGATTGCCAGGACTGACCATTGCTTCCCATGCCTCCCCTTTCACTCATGGTCCAGGGACTGGGTTCTTCCTGTGATCAGAACCCACTCATCTCAGTCCCTCCCCCCCTGTCTGGGGCCTGTCCACCCTCTGCTCCTTCCCCACTCCCACTTTGCTTCCTGAAGCTTGCTGCTCGCTCAGCCATCTAGCCTCTGACCGGCAGGGATCGCTCATCCCGCTCAGTGACCCGTCACCCACATTAGTGACCTTTACTATGGCTCACCTTAGAGAGCCCAGGCTAGACACTTCGTATTACCCCTATTTCAAACATGAGGCCTGAGGGTGGGCACTGTGGCACAGCAGGTGAAGCCACACCTGTGACACAGGCATCCCATATCAGAGCACCAGTTTGAGTCCTGCTTAGAATCCAGCTTCTTGCTAATGCACCTAGGAAGGCAGCAGATGGCGGCTCAAGTACTCAGGCCCCCTCCCCCCCATAGGGAAATCCGGATGGAGTTCCTGGTTCCTGGCTTTGGCCTGGCCTAGCCCAGGCCATTGTATCCATTTGGGAAGTGAACCAGTGGATGGAAGATCTCTCTCTCCCTCTCTCCTTCTGTAAGTCTACACTGCTTTTCAAATAAATGAAATAAATCTTGTTCTGGGTGTTGTTTAAAGCAAGTCAACATTTTTAAGCTGCCTTCCGCTCCTACAGCTTGAGGCCTTATGAAGAAGTCGCGCTCTTCTGGCTGCAGGTGGACAGCTGCCGTGAACAAAGGCCCTCATCTACCTGTATCCTTGGATACAGTCCTACCAGGCTCTCCAGGACGCCTTCCCAAGCTTCCAGTCCTCTCCTAGGTTAAGCTAAGATTCTTTTACAAAATAAATTAACTGGAGATAAACCAGTGCTCTGTGCCGGCCCCTGTATGGTTGGGTGAGTGCTACTCTTCTACTCCTCACTGATTTCTGAGCCTCAGAGAAGTTAATAAATTTCCCCAAGGTCACCAAGCTGCAATCCAATCACAACCATTCACGGCGACTTCTTCCCACAAGGAGACCTGCGTTCTGGATCCCTGTGTCCACACAGCAAAGAGAAAGCGGCCAAAGGGAAGCCCCTCCATAGAGTTCTTCACTCCAGTGGTGGGAACGGCTGTGCAGTGGTCCCTAAGCCCCTCTTGCCTGACCCCGGGAGCTGACGGGCTCTGTCTTGAACCCACTCCTCCTGCGGCTTCTCCCCTCCCCCAGCCCCCGGCTCCCCTTCCACTCTCACCCACCTCAGACCAGGCTCCTTTTCTCTTTGCGATCACGTCCTCTGTCTGACTCGACCCAAGGAAGCCTGCATCCCATCCCTCCCTCCCTCCCCCACAGAGCACAGGAACAGCTTGTGGCTGGATGAAAGCTCCCAGTCCTGAGCCATGGTCATTTTTTTCCCACTTGTCACATCCCTTCTTCCAAATGACTCCTAGCAGCCACCCTCCGCAGCCTGCCCCTCGGCCAGCACGCAGGTGGCGGCGGCTCGGCTCTCATCACTCGGTCTTGGACGTCTTCAGAGAGAGAGACTCACATCCCAGGCCGCCATCCGTGCCCCCAGCCCCCAAATAGTGGAGTTTGGAGTTCATGACCATGCCTGCTGCAGCTCTCAGCAGCTGGTCGCTTGATGGAGCTGTGGCTGCCCCCTGGGATGGCTCTTAAAGAAGCACACACCAGCCGGCACCGTGGCTCACTAGGCTAATCCTCCGCCTTGCGGCGCCAGCACACCAGGTTCTAGTCCCGGTCAGGGCGCTGGATTCTGTCCCGGTTGCCCCTCTTCCAGGCCAGCTCTCTGCTGTGGCCAGGGAGTGCAGTGGAGGATGGCCCAAGTGCTTGGGCCCTGCACCCCATGGGAGACCAGGAGAAGCACCTGGCTCCTGGCTTTGGATCAGCGCGGTGCGCCGGCCACGGCGGCCATTGGAGGGTGAACCAATGGCAAAGGAAGACCTTTCTCTCTGTCTCTCTCTCTCACTGTCCACTCTGCCTGTCAAAAAACAAAAACAAAACAAAACAAAACAAAGAAGCACACACCACTTACCAGTTTCTTCCTGCTGTTTCTCCCAAGATAGGGGCTCAATTAGCTAAAATAGAGAAAAAATTAGTCTTATTATGTCCTAAAAGAAAAAGATAGTTGTTTAACTAATGTACACAGGAAGAGAGGAAGAATTCTCTCATTCCCATCTACCACCCCCTTGCTTGGAGGTGGCAGTGGCCTGGGAAGCAGAAGAGCCCTAATGTGCACAGGCGAAGTCTTGTCCAGTTTCAAAACCCTGACCTTAGCACCCCACCCCCACCCCCATCACTCTCTGCTGCGTTCATTTGCATATTCAACCACACAAACTGGTCAATTAGTCTAGACCTTTCTCTTGGGCCAAAGTCCACTTAATTCTCATTCAGATGGCTTCTGCTGCCTGATTCACTCCTCTAAATTATCTCATCTGAGTGAATCCACACCCTCCCCTGTAGCACTCCCGCCTAGGCTGACATCGTGACCCTCAATGAGAGGAATTAGGGTGCAAGAGTAGGAGGCGGGGAGGGGGGCAGGTGCAGGGCAGCCATTAGCAGGAAAAGCAGTGGCAGAGGAGGAGGTGGGAGGCCAGGGGCTCTGCCAGCACAGCTCGGGCAGTGCTGTGCCCCTTCCAAGAGTGCAGAGAGCTAATGGGCTCTATTTGCTTTAGAAGTACTGTTCACTAATGCTAATGCTCTAGTTCTTACTGAGTATTTCTTCCCTGACACACTCAAAAAGAAAGCATTAAGGAAGCTGGCTGGGCTCTCACAACCCACAACTTACATTGCCTTCCTGAGGCATCTGTCGTCTCCCTGCAAGGCGTTCAACACTTGGCACGCACTACGCCCTCCTGAAACACAAGAGCTTGCTTATCTCATTTAATTCTAGAAACAACTTTATCCTTACAGTCAGATCTCTGGATAGACAGGTCATTCCAGAGGCCATTTCCCCCCAAATCCTGAGCGCACTGCCGGACTACATTTCCCAGCTTCCCTTGCAATTAATTAGATAGAGAGACATGGAACTGAGCTCTGTCCAGTGCACTGTGGGCCACTCCTGGCCTCGCCCAATAAACCACATATATCTTAGCATCCACTCTCCTCTCCCCACATTTACACTCAGGACTTGGGGGATGGTTCAGAGACAGCAGACAGAAGGATCCTGAGATCCTGAGTCAGGGTTTGAACAGAGCCCTGCAGAAGAGACACCTGACCAGAATTACACATGTCCTACTGTGCAGTGAGCAAAGTAGACATCACAGGAAGCAATGGTTGGAGAACAGCATCACAGGCAGCGAAGGGATTCATCCCAGCACACAGAAAGCAGAGCGCGCTGTAAGGAAGCCGTGGACGAGCAGGTCAGGTAGGGGCTGACTACCGCTTCGACGTGGAGTAATTTGAAGGGTGTCCCTGTAGCAGCAGTCCCTTCTTTTCTGCTTGCAAGGGAGCAGTGGGCGGGACAGCCAGAGGCTGCCCTTTGCAATGTGGACTATCCAAGAACTATTCTTGCACCAGCCCACGGTTAGGGTGAGTTTCCCATAGTCCAGTGGTGTTTCCCAGGCAGTTGATTTGCATCTTGAGGTGGGGCTGGGGAGCTGGTATCTCCTTTAGCTTAGGGGACTCTACCAAATGCCCTGGGGTCGCCCTCCACAATACACTAATTTTGCAAGTCTACTAAGATGTTGTCTCCTGCAGTCAGCCTACCCTAATACAACCTCCCTTCTATGGACTAGGCTTTGAGACTCAAAGAATTCACATGACTTTCCCAAATTAAATGGCAGAGCTGGGGCTCACCGCCAGGTCTTCTGATGAAAGCCATTGCTGCTGCCATCATACCACAGCTGCTTCGTAGTCACTCCTGCTGCTTTCAAGGGAGCAAAAAATCTACTGAGCCCAGCGATCGTTCTGAACAAATGCATTCTCAGTTCACTGAGGCTGTCCTAATTAGGACCTTCATGAAGACGGCTCTGGGGAAAAGGAAACTAAAGCAGGGATGTAATCAGGGCCAGATCCTCGGTGTAATGGGAGAAGAGACACTGCAAAGTCACTTTTGAGGACCTCAAAGCACCAGTAGCCAACAGGGGCGATGCATGCCCATGGAGCTGGGCAACAGGGGTAGGAAATGACTCCACCACGCTCACATCAGGAAAAGGCAGTCCAGGGGCCCATGCTGTGGCACAGCAGGTGAAGCCACTGCCTGGGATGCTGGCATCACATAGAGGCTCCAGTTTGAGTCCTGGCTGCTCCACTTCCCATCCAGCTCCACCTGGGAGAACAGCAGAGGGTGACCCTGCCACCCACATGGGAGACCCTGGGTGGAGTTCCAAGCTCCTGCCTTCAGCCTGGTCCAGTCCCAGCAGTTGCAGTCATTTAGGGAGTGAACCAACAGATGGAAGATCTCTCTCGCTTGCTCGTTTGTTCTCTGTCTCTCCTTGTCTCTCTGTAACTCTGCCTTTCAAATAAATCAATCAATAGTTTAAAAAGAAAGAGAAAAGGCAGTCCAAGGCTGGTCCCTGGCAGGAAGAGAGCCATGAATGTGCAAGGAAGAAGTCATTGTGCCTAGCCAGCCCCTCAGCCCACCATCGCGCGTGCATCTGGATTTCTTCAATCACTTCTCAGTGATGATAGCCAAAGTCCAGCTCCTTAAGTTGCACGCAAGATCCACCACGATCTCCCTCTCCCACCACCCCAGCCAGTGCTCTTCCTTCAGGAGAGCAGAGGAAAGGTGTGGGGAGAGAACAGGATGGCCTGGCAATCTGGACTCAACTCACTAAGCACACTACGCTGCTTGAGTCTTTGCAAGTGCACAGTTGCCATCCCCAGTCACAGCCCCCATAGAGCTCAGGTCAGGGGCCATCTCTGTCTCCAGCTTGGTCTGCTGCCTCTCCTCTGTACTGCCCCCCAGTCCCTTCTGCATGTCCATGTTACAGTGCTGATCAGACTGCCGTGCAGTTGTTCGTTCTGTCTTCTGCTAGACTATGTGCTGTGCATCTGTGATTTCCCAGTACCCAGCGCAGCACACAGAACACAACAGGAGCTCAGCCAATTCGATGAGGGGGCACGGGTGGACAATTGAATAAAGAGAATGCTGGAGGGGCTGGCGCTGTGGCACAGTAGGTTAATCCTCCACCTGTGGCGTCGGCATCCCATATGGGTGCTGGTTCTAGTCCCGGCTGCTCCTCTTCCAATCCAGCTCTCTGCTATGGCCTGGGAAAGCAGTGGATGATGGTCCAAGTTCTTGGGCCCCTACACCCACAAGGGAGACCCGAAGAAGCTCCTGGCTCCTGGCTTCAGGTAGGCTCAGCTCCAGATATTGCAGCCATTTGGGGAGTGAACCAGGCGATGGAAGTCCTCTCTGTCTCTCCCTCTCACTTTCTGTAAGTCTACCTCTCAAATCAATAAATAACATCTTTCTAAAAAGAGAGAGAGGGAGAGAGAGAGAGAGAGAGAGGCAGAGAGGGAGAGAGAAACGCTGGAGAAATCTCACTTCGCACCATGGTGGGCACAATAATGAACTCCCCAGTTGTCCACATCTTCGTCCATGGAACTATGTTACATTAAGTAGGAAAATGGAGTTCAGGTTGCTGATTAACTGACCTTAAGGTGCGGGGCCAGCGTTGTCACTCAGTGGATTAAGCCATGGCTTGCAACTCAGTCATCCAATATTGGAGTCCCAGCTGCTCTACTTCCAATCCAGCTTCTTGCTAATATTTGGGCAAGCAGTAAATGATGCCCAAGTGCTTGGGTCCCTGCCACCAACCTGGGAGACCTGAATGGAATTCCGGGCTTCTGGCTTCAGTCTGGCCCACTCCAATCTCTCTCTCTCTCTCTCTCTCTCTCTCTCTCCCCCTCCCTCCCTCCCTCTATCATTTTGTCTTTCAAATAAACAAAATAAATCTTAAGTCAAAAAAACACAGCTGATCCTAGATAACCCAGATGGGCCCGTCGTAATTAGCAGAGCCCTACAAAGCCGGCAAAGAGCGGCTGGACCAGGATTGCCAGGATGAAGACGAGGGAGGAAGATCTGCTGAGCCTCACTGGCAGTGGAGATGGAAGAGTGCCCCTGCCCCAGGAAGGTCGACAGCCTCCAGAAGCTGGGAAAGGCCAACATGAACAAAACCAACAAGAAAATGAACTTCCCCCTGGGACGGCCAGAAAGAAACGCAATGCTACTGACTCTTGTTCTTAGCCCGTGGGACCCATTTAATACTGCTGCCTTCCAGAACCTAAGATAATAAATTTATTTAGTTGTTATCATTTGTTCTATTTTTTTTTTAAGACAGATTTATAGAGAGAGGTAGAAACAGAGAGAGGCCTTCCGTCCGATGGTTCACTCCCCAGTTGGCCGCAATGGCCGGAACTGCTCCGATCTGAAGCCAGGACCCTGGAGCTTCTTCCAGGTCTCCCACATGAGTACAGGGGCCCAAGGATTTGGGCCATCTTCTACTGCCCTCCCAGACCACAGCAGAGAGCTGGATCAGGAGAGGAGCAGCCAGGACAAGAACCAGTGCCCATATGGGATGCCGGTGCTTCAGGCCAGGGCTTTAACCCACTGCGCCACAGCGTCGGCCCCCATTTGTTCTATTTTTAAGATTTATTTTATGGGTGCTGGCCGTTGCGGCCAACTGGGGAGTGAACCAGTGGATGGAAGACCTCTCTCTCTCTCTCTCTCTCCCTCTCCTCTCTCTGTGCAACTGTGACTTTCAAGTAAAATAAACAAATCTTAAAAAAAAAAAAGTAATAACAAGTATCGAAAGAAGGGAGGAGTTGAGCACAGAGAAGACTTGAACCTGAACTTACAGCTGAGCAGGACTCTCTTGCAGGCACAAACACTTACCCAGGCCACTTGGAAGGGACCTTTGAAGACAGTCGTCCAGCATGGGCTCCGGTTCTTCCCAGGACCCAGAGCCCCCTGCGCGCGGGAAAGAGCTGTCCTATCAGTGTCCAGCGCACAGAAGACAAGGCAATGGGAATGACGGGATGCCAAAGCAGAATCACTCCTGCCAGCCCCTCACTCTACAGAGGAAGTGACCAAGACTCAAACAGAAGACACCAGCTTCGCTTCCAAGTCTTTGTTAACTCTCGCAGAGTGAGAGTCCCTCGCCTTTCCTCCACTCTACTGCAGTGTTACAGGTACCATCGTGTGTATCGGCTGCCCTATTCCATTGCCTTTTCTACTTCTTGACAGCTGAGGCCTCATTCCCTTTAGGAGGGAC